GAAGGGCAGCTAGGGGCCATAGTCTCAGTGGTTCCACCAGGCTCTATCGGACCAGCAAACCTGGTCCCCACCTTTTTTATTTACCTCCAAATGATTTTGAGTTTAGTTCCACATTGTTCTCCTCTCTATCAAGGATCCCCTTCCAAGTAGATGACAGTGATAGCCGGGCACCATCTAGTTCTTCTGGTCTCATAGTTGTAAAGGCTGCAGATCGGATGGTGTACCAGTTGCTAGGACTAATTGTTTTTTAATACTTTTAAGAGGCTTCTGCAGCACATTTGCCCAATGAAGTATGTTGTTTGATTGCTTGACTACTGCTTCCTTGAGTGTGGACTGTGGATCTAAGTAAAATGAAATCCCTGATAATTCAATCTTTTCTCTGTTCACCATGATTTGCCTACTGGTCCAATTTTGAGGATTTCTGTTTTCTTTATGTTGAGGTATAAATCCATACTGAAGCTGTAGTCTTTGATTTTCTTCAGTAAGTGCTTCAAGTCCTCTTTGCTTTCAGCAAGCAAGGTTGTGCCTGTCACCTGTTTATCAAGACTGCTAATGAGTCTTATTCCAGTTCTGATACCATACTCTTTATATAATACAGCTTCTCTGATATGTGCTTAGTATACAGATTGAGTAAGTATGGTGAAAAGGCACAACCCTGATGCACATCTTTCCTGATTTTAAACCACACAATATCCCTTTGTTCTGTTAGAAGACTGCCTCTTGGTCTATGTACAGGTTCTGCATGAGCACAATTAAGTGTTCTGGAATTCCCATTCTTCTCAATGCTATCCGTAATTTGTTATGATCCACATAGTTGAATGTCTTGCACAGTCAATAAAACACAAACTATGACTTGAAATTCTCAAAAGCTGAGAGGGAGGATTGAAATACTTTTTAAATGTCTACTAATTTTCATAATTCACACATCTACAACATTATCAGTTATAATTACCTAACATAAAACCAAATTCAAGTATTATTCTTTTTGTTTTTCTTTTACAGTATTCTTTTCCAAGTTTTATTAGTTTAATAGCTACAGTTATTTTTGTAACACTGTATGCTTTTATTTTTTTTCTTTTTTCTATTGGGCTTTGGGTGCAAATTAACAATACAAAATTTTTTTTACATTCAACAGTTCATGTGCATTTGATTTCATGCCCCAATTACCACCCCCAACCATAATACAACTCTCCTCTTCTCCTACCCCTGTGACAATCCCCCCACCTTTCCCTCCATGTGACTGCTGCCTCTCTGGTGCTCCATGGCCAACTGCTCTAAGGGATGTATCTCCCTGGAGTAGGTGGATGCACCACCTGGGTTGGGTGTTCTGCATGTAAGTCTTTCTACTGTTAGGCTGAGAGCTGATCCCTGGGAGTGAGTCCAATTCTAGGCCTGACGGGTAGGTAACCTCGGGCCATAGTCTTGGGGGTTCCACTAAAGTAGTATGCTTTTAATCTCAGAGTCTTACAATCTTTTCTCTAAAATCCAACTAAATAAATCAGAGTTACTAATAGCTAAATGAAAATAAGCAGAGCAATATAAAGGAAAAGTTCCTAAGTCTTTTCTGGACTCATGTGGCAGAGGAGTACGGTTTGCAGCATGTCTCGTATCAATCAGTTCTTATTTGGTGACATATATAGAACTAGTAAGGGTTCTCTCAAAGTAGTTGCAAAGCACCACATTTTCTAGCCAACCATAAATCATTTGCTTTTCTAACAAGCAACTTCTTGTAAATTGTGTTTGACTTGACTTTTATAAAATGAGTAAAGTATAGAAGTACTATAAAAAAACTCACAGACGTAGCTAGGAAGTTTCTTTGAAACAAACTAAAAGAGAATTACTGAGAATTTTACTAATTTTTCAAAATTCAAGAAATTACTATTTAAGCCTCACAAGAGAATACTTAACCCACACACTTAAAATGTATAATACTTTACTCTTTTCTCCCCTTAAGAATGATTTGCCATTACAAGACTGGAAATAGTTCTTATTTTATAACTAACTCATGTATTGCAATAAGAGATAAACTTAAAATGAACATTATTTAATTAGACTGAGACCAACCTGTGCTTTTTGAAGCAATTCAATTGTAAGAGGAAGCCAATCAGGAATAAGTTTCTCCATTTCCAAACTAACCATGGCCAGAGCAAGCATGGATCCTTTGAATTGCAGAAGTTGGTTGCAGGCCATACAGTGGAGGAGTTGCTTGGTAAGGATTGCCAAATGTTGAGATGGGCTCAGTTTGGGCAAACTGAAGAGTAACTGAGGCCTAATTGACACTGCAATGGCATGGAACTGAAAACCACAGAAACAGTTTTGCTTAAATGTCTGGGTAAATTACGTACAGAAACTAATATAACCTTCATGTATTACTCAATTTCTAAATCTGTAATTTAGCGATCTGACACCCTAAATTCCAATTGTTCCCTGGCTATCATTCAAAATTGACTCAATACCACCAAACAACAATTTCAATAATTTTCCTTTTTCTAAATAACAGGGCAAAACAAATGAGCAGTATTCCACTTTTTAAGTTACTGAAACATCACTATATATTCAAATAAAAACTTGAAGACTTCGGGTGTATTTACAATGTGCAGAAAATCCAAGGGTGTGGCCGTGTGAAGGTCCCAATTCAATTTATCCAGAATAATCCTCTCCATTCTCAGAATTTCAGATGAAGAGCAGCCACAGAAACTGTCTCTTGCCAACACCTTCAGTACTGGAATTCTCTATTCAAAGGGAAAGCAGGAAGAAAAGGACAGAAAGATAAACCTATTTTCAATTTCTGTTTTCACAAACAGAAAGCAGGCTAATAAACTGAGAAAAATTTTCAAAAAAGTTACATAATTAATCTTTAAAGGAAAATATTACCTCATCTTCCTCAACAGTCTTGGCAGCTAAGAAAAAACAGCTGATTGCAATGCAACTCAAGTATTTTGGGTGGGCCTAAAATTTTGAAGAGGAAAAGAGCAACTTTAGTTTTTAAAAATATTTAGTTTATATATTTAAAAAATTAGATATTCAGATGAGATAAGTATGCACATAATTCTAGAGAACTTGATTGATCTGATTCTGCCCCCAATGGTTTCCAGATCAGAGCTAACTTTTAACAACAGCGCCCCAGTCATATAATGCTCTATGGAGATAAGCTCATTATACTGCTGGAGTTTTAACCAAAGCCAGTTAGCTAAAGTTCAGTTTCTATCCAGCAGAGAAGAGTTTGATCTCAGAAGATAATTTTTTAAATAAGTACTATGCCCTGGTGGCTCAGTGACTGCTAACCAGAAGGTTGGTGGTTCAAACTCACCAGCCGCTCAGAGGAAGGAAGATGTGGCAAACTACTTCCGTAAAGATTTACCTCCTCAGAAACCCAACGGCAGTCGCTATGAGTCAGAATGGTCTCGATAGCAATGAGTTTGGTTTGTTTTGGTTTATCGCCTAAATAAGATATGTATTTAATTACGTGTGTGTGTGTGTGTGTGTGTGTGTATGTTTATGGTTTTTTTTTTTAAGCTAGTTTCATTCCCTTGACTGTTGATAAAATATCAGTGAGATATTAGATATTAGGAGAATTAAAGAGAATATTAAAAGGAGACTATTAGCATATTTCAAAAAGCTTACACAAAATTAGAGGAGGCTAAATTCTTACCGTGGAACCTGAATATAGTTTTTTTAAATTTCTCTGTTTTCTGTATTGGACACTTAATCATTAGATAATTTTTATTTGTTGTTGTTGTTATTTGCCATCGAGTCGGCCCC